GACTCCAGTACTGACCACAGCTTCCTTTTCCACCCGTCCCAACTTTCTTTGGCTATCTGCTCTTCAAATTCTCCTTTAACATCTCAATGTATTTTTGAGTGCCAGAAGTTTAAAAATAAATCAAGAAGGGAGGAAAGATCATACTAACCCAAGAATTAAGAAGCAAAAAATTCTCTGAGTGTACCCACTCACAAGCAGAAAAAGATGTATCAGGACAACTAAGTCCTGGGAAATATCATGAGACCATCCCACAACCATCCCAGCAAACTAAATACTGCAAGTGACATGGGCAGCTGAAAACAAATTTGATAAATGATAATTATTTGTATCATATCAAGTATCAGACTGATTTAAAAAAATAGCCATTCTTGAGAGGCTACGTGACCAGGTTCCCCAGACAGAAAGAGATACAGTTCTGCCTTAATTTTACCAATACAATGCCTAGATTTGTTATCAGGAATGAAAAAAAGTCACCTTTCTTCTGAGTATACAACAGCAGATGCCAGCTCCCAAATCAGTCTCAGTTCATCTGAAAGCTTATAAAAAGGCTTTCAGAGTCAAGAGCAGCCAAAGCATTTCAAAGGCAATTTACTCAATCTATTAGATGTGAGAAAGTGTCATGTAATTCTGCGGAATTATTCTGCTTATCTCAAGATAGTTCAGACCTTCCCATTTACAGGGTCAGGCTTTTTAAACAAGCTAAGTACGAAATGGTCATTTTCAAAATTAAAGGAAGAATTAACTTAAATGATGTAAAACAAATGATTACTGAAATTACTTAGTTGAATATTCTACATTATATCATTTGTAACCTGGAATAAAGCAATCAATATTATCTTAATATTACCTATTCTTAAGTAGGCATTCTCATCAGCCACCATATGATATAGAAGACTGTTGAACTAATTCACTTGTCATATCTGTCAACATTAATTCAATAGCATTCCAAGGTAATAATCACTATCAATCTAATTATATCAGCCATCTCCTGTAAATGAGTACCAATTATTTTAATTAAAATATTAAATATTTAGAAAATAGAAAGGAACATTTATTAATAATTTATATACTTAATTTGAATCTACCTGAACAACCATAATTCCTGAACAACAAAGCTTGCTTTCTTTGTATCCTCCTTTACTACTTTCCAGGGAGTTTTAAGACGCAAACTATCAATCCAGCACCAATGACAGGAAAACCACAAAATTTACATTGTTTTACTTTTATATAAATGTACACATACTTGCAGACTACTTCTATTGGTCTTATTCACTTAAGAACTCTTCTAAGAATATTCAAAGGATAGTTGCCCTATTTTGTAAACCCAAAGAGGTCAGTTTAGGTTTCCCATAAAATTACATTAGCCATCTACACAGTTGGGTTCTAACACTAAACCCCCGAATTCTTGTGCATGGCAAACAAGGGGATTCCTTTTCATCTCCCTTAGGTGAAAACAATACGAAACATTCACATACTAAGACAATATCATTTGGGAGCCTTTTTACCTCTTTTTTCCCCCATTTCTTTTAAAAGTTAATTTTAGAAATCTCCCTTTAATTTTCCAGCTGTGCTTTTGTGGATTATAAGGATATTCAAAATGCCTGTACCCCTGTTTGAGAATTAGGCTGAGTATTCAGGTCCTGCATTGAGATTTGGGTTCTTCCCAAAAGCCACAGAACAGAACCTAATGTTAAAGAATGACGGCAATATTAGAAGCTATGGTTGCTTGAATGCCCTGTAAAATTAAGCTTCCTTTAATAGTTCTTTTTAATGCTTTTAACAGCAAAATCCTACAGGTTTTTCACCATGTTTCACAAGAAATAAAGGGTATTTGTTCAGCTTTTCTCTGACAAACAATCAATGTGCCCAGTTCCCTTGAATCAGCATGATTTAAATACCAAGGGGGGGAAAAAGTCATTTGGTACAACCATAAAGCAATTAAAATGCCAGGCCAGTTAACTAAACAATTAGCAAATACAAATTAAATTGGAGGACAAGAAACCATACCACAAACACAGACTATGAACTAGTATATTCAAGCACACACAGAAGGTCTGACTATCCAAAAAAATCTTAACAGTTTTAACAAAAGTCAAGTAGTTTCATGTTAAAATAAGTCATCCTTGGAAATTTTCATTCAAAAAGCATATGGGGTAGCTTATTAAGATTACACTTCATATTGAAGTTCTTATTCCAAGTCAAGAAACATCAATGCAATCATCATATCCATAATCTTTGCCCTCTGGTGAATATACATTAAGATATACTATTTTAATATAAAATTATGAATACTATTTTTCTGTACCATGAGACATACCACTCTGTACCAGACACCCTGCATGCAACAGAAGACATGAGGAAAGGACTTTTCCAGATGGAAGTTGAATACCGTCAACTACTAAAGTGCATACAGCAAGGTATACACGTACATTAATGAGCAAGCAAACTGGGAAGAAAAGTGCTTGACACGTGCAACATGTCAAAATACTGTTAACAGAGCTGTAACTTTGCATTTTTCCCCCCAAAATGGCTAAAACCTAATAGGGAATATGAACATCATTTTGTATTAATGTTGTAGTGATTTGTTTGAAGGGGCTTTTTGTTTGCTTCGTTTGGTTTTGTTTTGTTAATGTGGTGGGTTGACCCTGGAGGCAAGAAGTATAGTTACGGTTCATGCATGTGAGGTAGCACATCACAGCTTCGCGCATTGCCAACTGTGTGGTTCATACGCCCTTCAAGAACTGGGGGCTTCGCAGGTACACTGGTGTGTTCTGCAAGAACCATTCTAGACCCTCCAGCCTATTTCTGATTAAAAGAGTGTCCTGCTGCCCAGAAAGGGTGGAAAGAGGACTCCAAAATGAATTAGAGCATCTTTCTCTGTTACCTAATCCAAGTTGTCTACAGTCCACCTTCCGCAGTTACCAAGTCTTCAAGGGACTGGGAACCACAGCATAGTGTAAGATGCAGAGTGAGTCCCACAGGCCAAAAATGTCAGAGTCTGATTTAAATTCCACCCTTGAAACAGATTATCATTTGAGGCAAAAAAAATCCCTGAACAAAACAAAAATCAAAGATGAGAAGACCCACATTAACTATGTGCTAATATCTCCCAGCATCTTGTTAGAAGACAGACATACTTGCAAAGTTCTTTATATGCTCACACTCAAAACGGTTACTAGTTTCCTTTCCTTGAGCATATCATAGCTAATAGCACTAAATGTCAGGTTTCAAAATTCAACTTCTGTTCCTTGTAGTCTAATTTTTTTCCCAGTTTTCCCTATAATCTACTTTTAAAACATTTTAAAACCAAGAAACATTTTCACTATCTGTTTACTTCACAGAAATGGCTAAACATATTTAAGTGTAAACATTTTCTTCCTTTTCTAAAACTACTTGAAGGAAGATTTTAGCACTGAAAATAGCAACTTGTCTTTTTAGTTCATGTTAAAATTGGAAGCAGCGATGCAGAAACATCTTGGCAATATCAAGCAAATGGCAACTGAGAATTACAACAGTATCAGGCATTTGAGAGGTAGATACAAACTTTCCCAATTTCAGGATCTATCAGTTGGCAAGAGGCAATTAAAATACACTTATCCCTTTCGTCTGAAGGGAATACCAGACAGTGTTCTCCCTCCTGGCTCCTGATGCCCTAGCACAAGGATAACAGAGCTGCTTTACCCCCAAGATTTCAGCCACAGTGGGTAGAAGGGAAGGGTCAGATCTCCCCCCCTTACCCTTCTGCTGATAGGCAGGGAAAGACTGGACGCTACCTATGCTAACCAGCTTCCAGGGCAGAGCAGAATACAATTTTCTTCCACAGAAAGGAAAATAGTTTTGAGATTCAAAAATACTATCAAACCAGTAGTTCAACGAGCATGAAAATTAACGGGAAGCTTGTCTGTAGATGTCTCTTGCAGTTGTTTTCATGCTTTAATTGAAGTTTTTCCTCTGTGACGTGTCTGTAACATTTGCCTGCCGTGTGGATTTTGGGGGGTCTGTTAATATGCTAGCACCTGCTGGAGTTCAGGCACGTGGGGAAAGCACCTCAAGAGTCTCCCTCCTCTGCTGCTCCTGAAACTTGTTACATCCGAATCACTTGTGATCCACCTGCTTTTCTGTCGCTGGTGAAACCAGCCACCGAGCTCGGGGCGGGGGGGAGCAGAGAAGCAATGTTCACCTAAGACTTGTTTCCTTAGGAAACACCCTGAAAAACTTGTCGCTCAAAAACTAAATACAAGTTCATGGGGAAGCTATTTACACCTATGTATTTAGCTTATTGTAATTATACAATTAGCTACATAGGTAGTTAAATCTATATATGCACATTTATGTAACGTATTATTATAAATTATACAGATCATTTCGTGTACATATTTTATACGTCTCTATAGCTAATTATGTAATTGTTGTCATTCTGTCACATACACTTGTGCGTGCATAGCTATTACAATCGCGCATAGATGAGGCGAGGAAACGAGACCCGTAAGAGACCGCCTGCCCAGAGACGCCGAGTCCCAGGGGATTTTGTAACCCCGCAGCGAGCTGCCCTGCAGGGGAGCGTGCCGGGGGAACCCACGCCGAGCACACGAACCCGCAGACACCGGCCCCTCGGCGGCAGCGCGCGGCGAAGGCGCGTTTTCCACGCGTTTTCCACCCCCTGTCCGTGACACGCGTCCTCCAACAACGCCGGGCCCGGCGAGCTGCTGCTGGGGCTGCAGCCACCGCTAACAGCGGGGCTGTTAGGCAGAGAGGGCGAGCGAGGCTCCGGCCGCCGCCTGAAGGGCGCCTTGCGAGAGGCCGGTGTCCCCCCCCGTACCGGGGCGGGCGCCTGGGCCTCGCCCGCTGCCGGCCGGGGG